GCAGCAGCTCGCATGTGGCTCTGTGCCTATCTAATTTAGTAAGGAACGGCACTTGAGTGGCGCATTTATTTGTCAGTATCCATACACAAACATCAGGGTATAGGATCCTGGGCATATCACGAGATCTGCATCCGCCAATCGGTACTTTTCTGAAGTCATGGTATAACACAGGGCGCCACATACACCTTCCCACATTTACCGTTAACCCCACTAGCTAGTGCAGTGCGTGGCAGCGACCTTGAGCTGGCCCCCGCCCCCGCACTGCCTACCTGCAACTGTGTGTCGTACACTGTGTAGGCGCTGCTGCTGATGCCGCCCACCACCGTTACCCAGTGTGAATATTCGGAAGGGTTAAAATCGCTGATTGTAGATGCTGCACGCAGATTCACATGCACACGACACATAGTATGTTGCATGTAAGTCTACGTGCAACTCGTCTGTAAAATTGGGGAATGCCTATAGATCATCTATTCTCAGGACTAAATATGCATGTACGTATTATATGACACACTAATGGCAAGATCTACAAGCCATTCTGTAGCTATGAACCGATGTACGAACTATTCCTCGGTGTTCCTCGTATCACATGAGGACCCTGTCTATAGATCAATATTAACAACTTAGAGGCTTTGCAGGAATCCTACGGTAATTTGTCTATACAAGATGGTAACAATGGATTGTAGCTGGCTTGCTGGTTAATCTGCATCTTCATTCACACGTAGTAAGCTACATTTCCCTTAAGAATATTTCAACGATTACTGTTAACAATAACTGTTAATTTATTAACGATTCGACTCGAGTTTAGCACATGTTAAGAGTATCGTAACATGTCTCGAATATGGCAGCTGTTCGTAGCGAACCTAACGGGCTGGGGCCCCGGGCCCCAACGACATTATCCTAGTACAGCAGGACCGTGGTAGGGAATCTCCGGCAGGTAGGCCGAGATATAAGCTACCCAGGCGGGGTGCTCTGGCCAGACACTGAAGTATCACGACTATTAGGTATGGAGTTCAAGACTCCGCTGCCACCGACTAGACTATTACGTAAGCGTCTATGTACGCTAGTGCTTGTCGCTGG